TTTTCCATGAAATAAACTACATATATAACCTGAACCAAAGCGAGAAATATAAATTCTCGCATCCGATCCCTCAAGGGTTAATCAAAGACTCAGTTTTCGAGACTAGAGGAGTCGATCGTTTGATTGAAGTTATTATGCATAGTACATATATAGAGGATATTTCATGTGCTTGCGGAGAACGGATTTTATCTTCGAATGTTGAAAAGATTTTTCAACAAGAGAAGACAGAATTCATTTCTCCAATCGACYATGTAATATTCCGTTTCTGATATAATTACATATGAAAGCAACTTATGTCGTAAAATACCTTTTTTACTTCCAATATATAGAGATAACTCGAATGTGTTATTTTCACTAGTGAAAATACATACCGCACCTTAATCAATTGAGGCACTTTACGAAAATCGTGCTTGCGCCTCTCCTTCGAACTACGTGCGATAATAAACAATATCCGATCCAAATGCAACGCAGTATTTACAATATAAACGTTCTCTTTATAAGGAGAGGTAAAAAGAGTCGATACAACATAATAATAATAATCTAGCATTTGCATCTCAAATAGATCACAGTCGAACTTAATTCCATCCTTGACTCAAACGTTGCTCTTGCAAAGTTTGCCAGGCATGATTCATAGTAATTATAAAGCTWAAAGCTTAGTTGAAAATATCTTGTCTAATGTCTGACTGAAAACGATCTRATTTCTAAAGAAAATAGCGTGTGTTGCACAGGGTGGCACCCTATTCCAAAACACCGCTTAGAAATGAGCTAGAACGGTGGTAAAATTACTTGAAATAAGCTGGAGGCCGTACATATATAGCTGCATGATTATAGTAAAAGTATAGTATAGTCGCCTTTTCTTACCTTATTGGAGAAAATGTTTAATCTAGCTCGCAACGCTTTCAACCGTTTTCGACTCAACTGTACTTTGCTGCAAAGAAAATAGATACCACACCCCAATCAATCATGTTGAGGTTGAGGTTCCCGTATGTACTCAACTAACCTCAAATAATAACTGCTATCATTTAACACTCACCCCTCGTCCATGCCYTGTGGCTTATATATATGATATATGTTCTATACGCAAACATAATCCCTTCATCCTTACTTGCGGCATCGTAACTCAACGTACGTTCGTCTGCTAACGTTACCGTTCTATTCAACGTGCCAGACTTCACATACGTAAATGAATTATGTTATTTTGAAATGAGGTTAACCGAGTTTTGCTGACACATGGACCTAAGTGGTTTTTTTACAACTCAAGATGGGTTTTGGAGTCATGAAAGGCAAAATTGTGTAATTCGGGTTTTCTGTTTCGAAATCGTATAAACGTTACATGTAAAACATCCCCTCACTACTTACAGAGAACGCCGTGCTTGACTGGTTTTCAAATCGCCTTATCGTTATTTCATTTCTATCGCTAATGGAAAAGCTGTGTTCRAACTCGAATAATGGTAGGCCTTTAAAGGCGAAAGGCAAACACTTTAACTAACTAAACGCATAGCTGCGTGAACTCGGGGTTCTTGTTGATAAAAATCTAGTACTGTAGTGAATCCCAAATATTAATATTCAGCGTAAATTGTTATATCGATAAAGTTAGTATACTTTCGTAGTTTCTTTGGTAATTCTCGTTCACACTTGCGAATGTTGCAATGCATCAAAATACGGCTAAGAGAACGAAAACAMTACTTTGCATAGCAGGCATTACATAGTACAAATAAATATCACCCTTAATTTACTTGTGGAGTTTATCTTTTGTATAATTATTGAATTAATTTTKCCATCATTATTATTTGTTGACATCTTTTCAGTTTGTATAATTATTTAAATCTTTGGCTGCAAGTGCCTTCTAGTTTGGCCGAGACAATTTGTGAACCAAAGACGACGACCACGACAACCCCGAGTAATAATGGTTCAAAGTCAATGACATTTCTGAAATACAAAACCATGGTGCATTGTGGTCTARMTTCGGTACAAATAGCACCATATTGGTCGCATAAAYAAAAGATGTTTGTACGTAATSTAGACCATAATGCTATACGTAAATGCTATTTAAAAAAACGKCTATTCGAGTAGAATGAAAGCTTAAATAAAAAAAGCGAGCCAATCARAATTCAAGATTTTTGATAACCAATGTTATATTATCTTCCATCAATATTCATGGCTCGTATTTTTTCTATCTTTTAGAATGACTTTATTAATTCTTCATGTTATCATTACAACATACAAAACCATTGCCAATACTAAACCAKCAATRACAGACGATRAACGWGCATGCATAGCYGCATTGCCATCCRCCTTWTCTGCARTCCTTGCAAACACTCKACAAGGRCCGCCACTACCACCTTTGATCTTCATAGGCGCAGCAAACACTTCAAACCCTCTTGGAGGAAGACGGTGTAGGTTGGCGACATTCTCTATTCCAGGAACTCCGGCTCCTAGCAAGACTTTGTGGGTGGGAATACCTTCGCGGCTTTGACCTCTATCTAATGAAGGCGTATCAAGACCAAAGAGTTTTATTTTCCTGTTTTTGATCAACCACTTTGCGGCTTCTGGGTGAAGACCTGCACAAAAAGACACGGATAAAAGGTTATTTTTCTCAAGTATTCAAAAGTTCTATTAGTAATTGCAAGATTCTGTAGGAATCATATTATTTTTAATACCTGGAAACCTGTGCTTTGTGAAATCGTTTGTAGAATTTGTTCCAAAATACTTGACTTTATCAGGATAAAACTTCCCCCAACCCGAGTATAGGAACACGACTGGCTCGTCGGGCATCCTTTCATGTTTCTTCTCCCAGTCTTCTAAGTCGCTGATTTCAAGCTCGGCATTGGGTTTTTTTTCGGCCTTTGAAGAGATATTTACAACAATTCCGTCCCCAACCACCTGGTTTATTTTGATCTTGTCCACAGGGATCCCATCTTTGATGAAGTGGCTGGGTGCATCGATGTGTGTTCCTCCATGCTCGCCGGCGTCAAATGAGAAATATCTTATGAATACGTCCTTGGAAAGCATACCCTCGTATTCAAGCTGTAGTTGGAACGGTTTTTGACCAAGCCAGTAGATGGTTTCATTTTCAACAAAAGGGTGCGACAGGTCGATCCATTCGGGTGGGGCTGCAGTCACCTGGACGATTGACATGCTCATGATAGCCGACATGAGAAGAGCCATCTTGTAATATTCTAAAAACAAACAGATTTATGCAGGTTTAAAGAATGCGTAAGCTAACGGGAAAAATCGTCGATTGTCAGTCTGTTTGACACTATGTTAATCCAACTCCATGAAATGATTCCTTGAGATCTCAGCTGTCACTGTGTCAAAGCGGACTGAAGAATAATTTTACAGTATTACGGCTGCTACTAATCATATTGCTTGTTCATCGATCCATATTGTCCGTCATACCTATTAACTATGGTCATACCTTACGACTGTCTGATTTAACGGATCCACTTAAACGTTACTGATACGGAAGTAAACTTAAAGGGCTATTTGGACGAAAATTGCGAAACATTAGAAAAGACTTGGACATCAAATAGACCTATCCATATGGGTCTAATAATCATGAAGCAACAGATTTCAAGAAGATATTGATACAAATCCTTAATAATTTGGGCAAAATATGCTGGAGTAGATGACGTCATTTACTCCATCCTTTTGTTCTTCCATCTTTTGAATCAAAATTTCTCTGATGTGGGATAATTCCGAAACAAATATTTTCCCGCAATTGTTTTTCATAGATATAAATGAGTCATATATTTGTATTGCTTGACGTTTTGAAATAAGACCATTTTCATGCAAGTAGCACTTTAACTAATGTGAAGACACAAGCCGAGGATTTATTGTCAAGAATAAATTTCTCCGCAAGAATTTGAGTCTTATTCTACTTATTTATATTACAGGCATTTTCTACTAATTGTGGTGACGCTGAAAACATTGGACGATGTTTCAACTTCGTAAAATACACAAGTCGCGAATAAAATGGTGGTTGAGTTTCAATTGTTTCAATGGACAGAGCCCAGCATGTTTTTGAAAAGAAATCCGAAATGTCCACTGAATATTGAAGTGAACCTAACAGGGACACGACTGCTAGGCACCTTACTATAGAAACCTTTAACCCGTCTCCTTGTGAATGGAAGACATGGAGTCCACTGGCCATAGTTCGAAATATAAGTCGCGACAATACACCTTTTCAGTTGCTCTTAGGCCTCGACAGCGTGTTAAATATTCTTTTGATTTGTAGGAATGTGAGCAATTCAAACATTGATATGAATAGTCTCATTTGTCAAATTCAAAAGAATAATTAACTTGCTATCGAGGCCTAAGTGCAACTGAAAAGGTGTATGGAAAATAAATATGGAATACTCGTGAATGAATATTGTACTCTATATATTAGCTGTAGTTTTTGCTTACCTTAGCAAGCTATACGAGTACGTATGCTTGGGTTGATTGGAGTAAGTATAAGCTGTCTCAATGATAGTATACAAAGACTTGAGCAAGCCTCGCCCATCGAGGTTAATAAACCAATCACACTCAAGTATATAGACATATATTTTCTCAAATGTAGACAGACCTGATCTACAATCAAATAGTGACTAAAGTACGTAAGCAGAGGAGACGGAAGCAAAGGATGCTGAAGGTTTTATTATTGTGTTTCTATCGCCCTCTTTCTCGATGAAAAAAAATCCCCACAAGTTAAATCCCCTACCTTCTCTGTCTCCGCTATAACAAGTGAAAATTGGATGCAGCCAGTCAGTCAATTATAATTGGGAAACCGATACTGACGCGATACAGCTACTAGTTTACCGACGACCGGTCATACGAAATTGATTCCTGTACAGTATAGTATAGTTATTGTTTTTGAGATAATTTTGTTATGGACTACTGATTCTAGCAGCCAGTTCTTACACACTAAACTTGAGCTAATTTAGNTGCTTATTTTGCTAGAAAATGCCTATTTTGCTACATGAAGAGACATGGGAGGTTACTAAGGTATAAACAGAAACAAATGGCGTGCTAGATCATGTAGAAGTACGAAATCTCTTGTTTCTGCTCAAAAAAATCGACTTGGACCTTCGCATTCCACAATCCGAGAGGTCAAAGAATGGCAGTTCTTCGAAGGAAAATGGAACCGGTTTAGGTCAAGTGTTTTTATGATTTTTTGGCACAGAAATGTAGCTTAGTATGTGTTCTAACGAATAAGATTTGTGGGGATGAGAAATCTCGTAGTTAAGACATGTTTATGAGGACCTCAACAACCGGATGTCAAGTGTTTTATGGTGTTTTTACAAGGAAAGTATGGCGGCTGACGGCTATTTTGGTGAGTATTTTCAATTGATTTTGGAACCGGTTTAGGACTTCGAAACGGCTTATTTTATATCGCCATATTAAAGACAATACATCAAACTTCAAAATACGATTTGTGGGAAAATTCGAACGTCAAAAATAACAGAAATATTTGAAGAGGAATAAAGTATTACATACATTTCTTTGTATTTTATTGCTCATTAAAATGCCGTGGATTAGGCGACCAGATAATTAATGCGCATGCGTCGCGCCATGTTGTATCGAATTTCTGGGAATGTACAGTATCGATAAACATCAGGAGATTAGTATTCACCTCTTAGTGACTCTGGTAGCTTTCTTTGTAAGCTACATGCATTGCTGTGCACAGGCATGTTAATCTTGACATCATCAGCGTGAATTAAAGCTCACGCATTAAAGTTGAACACGATCTTAATTATTATTTCATCTTCCATTTCAGTTGATTCACTTGGTGAATAATTACGGCTACTACTAATCATATTTCTTGTTCATCGATCCATATTGTCTGTCATACCTATTAACTATGGTCATACCTTACGACTGTCTGATTTAACAGATCCACTTCTTAAACGTTACTGATACGGAAGTATACTTAACTAATGTGAAGACACAAGCCGAGGATTTATTGTCAAGAATAACTTTGCTCCGCAAGAATTTGAGTCTTATTTTACTTATTTATTTTACAGGCATTTTCTACTAATTGTGGGCTGAAAACATTTGATGATGTTTCAACTTAAAATACACACTCGCGAATAATTAAATGGTGTTTGAGTTTGAGCCCAGCATGTTTTTGAAAAGAGTTTGGGATCCGAAATGTCCACTGACATGTATTGAAGTGAGCCTAAGCCTTTTTAAAATCATCTTTATTCAAAAGGGACACGACTGCTAGGCACCTTACTATAGAAACCTAACCCGTCTCCTTTTGATTGGAAGACATTAAGTCCACTGGCCACAGCTCGGAATATAAGTCTTGACAATGGAAAATTATATATTTGGCATACCCGTGAATGAATATTGTACTCTATATTAGCTGTAGTTTGTGCTTACCTTAGCAAGCTGTACGTATGCTTGGGTTGAATGGAGTAAGTATAAGCTGTCTCAATGATAGTATACAAAGACTCGAGCAAGCCTCGCCCATCAAGGTTAAATAAACCATTCTAGAACTCATTAATAATTCATGAGCTATTAGTCCAATGAGCATCGAACTATTGGGTCACATGATGGGCCTTTATATCCGATAAAGTACTGATGTTTTATTAATCAGTTCTATATCAGATACTGACGCGATACAGCTACTAGTTTACCGACGTCCAGTCATACGAAATTGATTTCTGTACAGTATAGTGACGAGCTATGTCTTTAGGATCGTGAGTAGCCTCCATCGGAAACGGACATTTTTCTCTTCTTGGTCTTCCTGTGTTCATAAGCTTGACCGAGAAGAACTGGTGTCGAGAGATTAGGAACAACGAATAACCCGCTCCCCCTCCGGCACTTTTTTTCCTTAACACAGGAATCCCACGGAGTAGAGTTGCCTGCAAAGGAGGCTTAGATCGTGAGGATTTCTTTCATCTTTGATTTAGTAATTCCTCTTTGTGAATTTTATGTTTAATGTTAATTTAGTAGTTAAAAAAAAATTATGACAACCTCTTATTACCGAAACGGTTATAACGAGATACTGTAATTGAAAAAAAAGATTCTCTATAATCAGTTTTTCCAATCACAAACTACAACCTTCCCTTGACTTGTTCCAATCCATATTCATGGCTCTTTTCTTCCTCTTAGAATGACATTTATTGATTCTTTATGTTATCATTACAACACAGGCCCGTAGGGTAAGGGGGTTCCCCACAATGTTAAAAGGTCAAGTGTTTCTCTTTTTTACTGTTTTATTTTAAAATTATTTCGTTATTGTTTTTGAGATAATTTTGTTATGAACTACTCATTCTAGCAGCCAGTTCTTACACACTAAACTTGAGCTAATTTAGGAAAACATTTAATTTAGGTCCTCATTATGAAAAAACGAATTCCCTAATTTGTAAGGCAGCCTACGTGCTTGCAACATACAAAACCATTGCCAATACTAAACCAGCAATGACAGACGATGAACGAGCATGCATAGCCGCATTGACATCCACCTTTTCTGCAATCCTTGCAAACACTCTACAAGGGCCGCCACTACCACCTTTGATCTTCATAGGCGCAGCAAACACTTCAAACCCCCTTGGAGGAAGACGGTGTAGGCTGGCGACATTCTCTATTCCAGGAACTCCGGATCCTAGCAAGACTTTGTGGGTGGGAACATCTTCGCGGCTTTGACCTTTATCTAATGAAGGCGTATCAAGACCAAAGAGTTTTATTTTTCTGTTTTTGATCAACCACTTTGCAGCGTTTGGATGAAGACCTGCACACACAAACAGATAAAAGGTTTTCAAAACTTCTGTTTAGCAATTGCAAGATTGTAGGAATCATATCTTAAACACAACTGCATACCTGGAAATCTGAACTTTGTGAAATCGTTTGTAGAATTTGTTCCAAAGTACTTGACTTTATCAGGATAAAACTTTCCCCAACCCGAGTATAGGAACACGACTGGCTCGTCGGGCATCCTTCCATGTTTCTTCTCCCAGTCTTCTAAGTCGCTGATTTCAAGCTCAGCATTGGGGTTCTTTTCGGCCTTTGAAGAGATATTCACAACAATTCCGTCGCCAACCACCTGGTTTATTTTAATTTTGTCCACAGGGATCCCATCTTCGATGAAGTGGTTGGGTGCATCGATGTGTGTACCTCCATGCTCGCCGGCGCCAAATGAGAAATATCTTAAGAATACATTCCTGGTAATCATACCCTGATATCCAAGTTCTAGTTGGAACGGTTTTTCACCAGGCCAGTAAATGGTTTCATTTTCAACAAAAGGGTGAGACAGGTCGATCCATTTGGGTGGGGCCGCTTTGGCCGGGACGATCGACACGGTAATGACAGCCCACATGAGAAAAG